TTGACAGGATGCTGAGGAAGGCGCAGGCCTGGGTTTGGGCTGGCCCAGTGCCAGCGAGCTGCAGTGCTTTTCAGAATTGATTAGCATCTCATACAAAAAAAAAAAAGGGGGTTGCTGTTGTTTCCAGAGAGCGCTTGGAAAATTCCTCTCCAAGGCCTTGCATGGACCGCTGGAGAGCAGGACCCCGAGTCCTGCCTTGTTTGTTTGGGACTTCGGATGACATAGTCTCGTTAGGAGAAGGCTGTCTGGGGAAAGAGGGATTCTTCCCTGCGTTCAGTGGCTGGAAACCAGCACGGAGACTGCCCAGAGTTGCTGGAGCAGAAGAGCAACGTGATGCTGGCTGGTGTCTGCGCTTCCAGTCCTGGGTGGAGAAGGCGGAGGAGCTGCTGACTCTGCACTGACTGTGGCAGCAAATCTCTCTGGTGGTGTTAAGCTTGAGTTAGACTGAAGTAAACCTAACCTCCTGGTCTTGCTTTTATCTTGCTTGTTTGTGATTTAAATTGCTTTTATTTGTTTTGTTTTGTTTTGTTTTGTTTTTCCTGGGAGTGCCAACTTGCTGTTTCTGTCTCTTTCTGCCCAGATATCGATATGCCGAGATTTGCCCAACATCGAGGTGATCACGTTCAGGTGAATGTCAGACTGCCAGCTTTGGAGAGGGCAGGGGAAATCGCCTTTCTCATGGGACTGTGGCTTGGCCCTTGATTTCTTACCACCCTTCTGTGGTTGTGCGTCTGAGCTGCCTGGCTCTTCACGCCCAACTTCTGAAGCGGCAGAGATGCAGAAATGATTATTCTGCTAGCTCCTCCACACCTTTCCCTTTGCTACTCGAGAAAATAATTCCAGTTTTGAGAAGTGTTAAAACCCCTTAGGATTGTTGCTCCCTAAGTCCTATTCATAGCTTGGGTGGGAATCTTCTGGGCCTCTGTATGGGGTCAGTTTGTGGAATGCTTGTTGAAATGCTTTATGGATCTCACAGAGCTTTTCATTTCCATAAGCCTCTACCTAACACACCCATCTCTCACCTGTCCCGGGGATCCCGTCGAGCCAACGCTGTCTCTGAATTTGAGCTTTTTAGCTTGGGAATCTTCTATGGTTGGGTTCTCGTTCAGTGAGTCTGAGGAACTGCTGCAGGAAAAGGGGGCAAGCGTGACAGACATTTGGGGGAAGCAGAGGCTGTTTGTCATCTTCAGCAGAGAGGAGACCCTGCTTTTTTAATTCTTTCCTCTGTTTAAAAAGATGAAGTGCTCCAAGCCATAGGGCCCCTGAGTGTCCCTTGCCATGCTGTGCCGGGGTAAAGCTCCTCAGTGAAGCTGTTGCAGGAAAAGGAGCTGGAAAGCCGCTGTGCTACAGGGGCCGGGCACCCACCTGAACGGTACAGCGAGGGAGGGATGGGCTCGCTGGTCTCTGATACTACAATCTCTTTTTCAGTGTGAATGGCATCTCGGACCTCGAGCCGCTGAATCACTGCCAGAATCTGAGTGAACTCTATCTGAGGAAGAACAACATTACAAGCCTAAATGAGCTCTTCTACCTCAAAAACTTACCCCGGCTGAGGGTCCTGTGGCTGTCTGAAAATCCTTGTTGTGGGGCGGACCCCCACCGCTACCGCATGACGGTGCTGCGTAACCTACCCAGCCTGCAGAAACTTGATAACCAAGGTAGGTGTTTGCAGGTAAACGAACAGCCCCGAGCCATGGGCTTGGTGAACTGGAAACCAGTGACCAGGAACTGTTGGTTCCTCTCTTTAAGGCGTCCTTTGACTCTTCCTTGAGCCAGGATGGGTTAGAGGTTGAGCGTCCCCTCTGACAGATCCACCGCTTTTAAGCTATTTTCTCCCTTCACTTCGCTGCAGTGCCAGAGTTAACACTAGCAGGACTGAGAGCGCCTCATTATAGCTGAGACAGTACCACTAATTAGTGGTTTTTTAGAGCTCTCTCCTTTGCTGGGGCAAAACAAAGATTCTGTAATTGGATCTGCTGTCATTAAAAAAAAAACCAAAACCCCAAAAAAGAGAAGCTTTTCCATCTGGTTGCAGTAATTTGGTGGCTTTGGGAGCCTTCTCCAGAGACAAGAAATAGCAAAGCATGTTTGCATCCCTCCCTGATATCTTTCTCACTTTTGAGAGGCTGGTGACAGCTGCCAGTGTTTTCCTGTGTGGATTTTACTACAGGAGGAGGGTGAAAGCAAAAGGCCAGTGCAAAGGACAATTTTTGGACCAAACCCCTGCATTATAGCTCTGCAGCAGCAGTACCTGCCCCGTTACAGATGGTATCTTCCTGCGCTGCTCGAGTTCACTGCAACAGGCTTTTCTTTTGGCTTTTGCAGCTGTGACGGAGGAAGAACTGTCCCAGGCCCTGGTTGATGGCGAGGAGATCACAGCTCCACCAGCTAGGAGGAACGTGGAGAACGGCTGCCTCGAGTCCACTGAATCCAGTGCTGCCGAACCCACAACAGAGACCGAGAGTGAACTGCTGAACTTCAGTCTGGAGGAGACAAAGTGAGGGCTTGCTTGTGAGCTGTTAGGATTTCTGGGCTGAACTGGTGTGTAGCATGAAAGGACCCTGCCAGCCAGCCCTGATATTCCATGGGCCAGACCTGTAGCTGGTGCAGATTCCCGTTGTTCCAGTTACCGTGGTGGAGCTGTGCTGGTTTAATAGCACTTGTGGGTTTTGTTCTGTATCTGCAAAACAGGCTCTTGTGTAGGTGGGTACTTAACTCTCAAGCACGTCAGCTGCACGTACAGAGATGGATCCTCTCTGAAGTGTGAGCTCAGGTCCATTACTG